CCGGGCTGCGCCTCGAGAACGAAAACACCAACCTCGATCCAAATACTGGCTTGGACAAATACCAAATCGCCCAAAAGAACACAAAAATCTCCAAACCCCACGGAGGAATCCTCCCCGAACGCTCTCGGCGTGTCCACGAGACACAAGCCTCCGTCGTCCCAAGGTGCGCACGTCCCAGTTTGCTCTGAGCGAATGAGGAAACCAAATAGCAACGAGATGTGCTGCCCCAGACACGGGAAAAAAAACACCCCAAAAAAGCCCCATCAAAGCCAGGGTTTGCTAAAGAGCTTCGGGCCAAGTCCTTATCTGGTGTAAATGGATGTAGCTGCACTGACGTCGCGCTGGGGATAGGCTCATTTACACCAGCGGAGGTTGGAGCCCCTGATTTGGTTCAAGAAGTCTTGCCATCTATTCACGTAGCCCTTTGGAAACACCGACAGGTCTCGCTCCTCCCGCTCAGCGCCGAAACCGCTCCCGGGAGTCGATCCGAGTGAGGTTCAGCACGGGCAACAGGCACTATTTTGCTTTAAAACAAGCTACAGGGTTATCACTCTCCCCCCTCCCCGATTGTCCCAGCCTTCGCCCTCAGGAACTGAAACGGCAGATTACTTGCTTGCTTGTCTTCGCACCTCCAAATTCAAACGTAGCTTAGGGGGTCAGTGCAGGGGTTCAGAAAATAACTGAGAAATTACTGAAAATCCTATAAAAAGGATTTTGGAAGCGTCCCCTGCTTTTCACACTGTCTTGATGTGATTTGAAAATTTAAAAAAAAAAAAAAAAATAAAAAGAACAACCCAAACCAAAAAATGTCCTGAAATAAGATTGCATAAATAAATTATAAATATCTCTCTTTTAACTACAGGTCCTTAAAAAGCAAAACATGGTCTCTACCATTTACAGGTAGAGAACACAGCAATTGCTTTCCAGGATTTTGGAGAGGGATCTCTGAGGAGCGCAGCCCTCGCTACGGCCCCGCTCCCCGGGCGGGAGCGAGCCGAAGGGAAGGGATGCTGAGGCGCTGAGGACCCTTCCTGTCTCGGGAACCACCGTGCCACATTATGCACCCTTATCACAAAAAAAATAAAAAATGGAAATCACAATTTTCCTCCTTGAATACCATTTTCGAAGTCAGATTTATGTTTTCCCTTGCAAGTAAAAAAATGAAACCCCCAACATGAAACCGTCCCGGTGAAAGCGCGGTGCTGTGTGTGAGGAGCAGTCGTCTGCTAACGGTGGGAAGAAGTTGTTGCGATCCCAGTTCACGCGCAAGAGGTTTCTGGCCAATTCCCCCCGGCTGACTACAACGCATACGAAGGGCCAACTTTCATCTGTCAACGCTTGTAAAATGCCCCAGAGGACACGGGTGTCGGGGCAGCCGGCGGGCAGCCTGCAAAGCAGCAAAGCATCGTGTGGTCCCCACCCCTTCCGGCTGACGATCCGACTAAATAACGACGGAATCCAACTCGGATCAAAGCGCTACAAACCAGACGAAGCAGGATGGTTGTTGTGCATAGCTACTTGGTATTAAAACACGTCGTGCCCTCGCTTGCTGCGGGTGATTTGCTCTCTGGGGGCAAAGAGCCAAGCGACCCGGCTGGCACGGGGACCTGCGGATGCAGCCTTGGGAAAAGCTCCGGTGATCCCTGCTCTGCTCCCGCTAGAAATTCCCATCAGATCTGAGTAAGAGCTCATCGAGACAAAAGAAACCAATTTAAACAGAACGCCATCGTCTCTTGAAAAAGAGCTGGTTACCTCCCGCTGCGTAGGGGATCTTTCTGGACCACCCCGCGCCACGTACTAAGATATCCCGGTTGGGAACTTAGCTGGAATTGGGCAAACGATACTGGCTCGGCTGATGTTGGCTTCACGGTCAGCTGGGGAACGAAAGGGCTGGAGCACGTGCATGGCTGGCTGACCACCACACAAAGTACCGGAGAAACTTGGTCATGTAGCTACCAAAGAGAAATAAAAATAATAATAATATGCATGGAAATCAAGCTTGGAAGTGTGTGCTGAAAACATGAGGGTCTTACTCCAACAAGCGTCTTTTACACATTAGACTCCACAAATGGTCTCTTTGGTTTGATTGGGGACGTCTGCCCTTGCCTGGAGTCCCTGGAGAGCTGCCTGTACAGGTTGTCCTGGTAGGCCTGCGCCACAGGCAGTGTCCTTGCCACCTTGACGTCGGGATACGAGGAGGCTTGGGTGACTCTCTCCAGGAGGTCTCCCCGGGACCCATTGGCCAGCATCCCATGGGGGCTGTAATAGTCTTCCTCTAGCAAATGGCCATTCTGTGCATTGTTGGTTTTGTTATAAAAGGCAATGTTGCTGATTGAAGAAGGCGGGCTAAATGATTCCGGCTGGGGGAGATTGCCCGGAGATGTAGGACTAATGACAGTGTCCACTGACGAGACAGCCCAGGTCCGGTTCTGCTGATGGAGGTGGGGGTACTGCTGAGTCCGAGCGGTTTTATCTATGATTCCCATGAACGGCGTGGTCCGGGAACGGGCTGGCTCGCTGGGGTAACCCCCCTGCGTGGGAGAGACCGGAGAAAGTTCATCGCACGATCTGTCATAAGCTGGCTTGAGGGGAATCTCCATTTGCTGAATCGAAGCAGAAGGGCGGAAGTTGGGCGTCAGGTTGGAGGTGGAGGAGATGCTATTGCTGGAAGGAGAGAAGCGGAGGCCAACGCTCTGAGAGTGGAGCAGGGGCCTCGGAGTTGGTGGGTGAGGCTTTATTTCACTGGGATTAACTGTGATGGGCCTTCTTATGAGATGAGACACATCTGGAGAGCCCAGCTGGCTGGCGGGGAGGGAAGAACGTTCCAGATCAAGCTTCGAGTGACACACTGGATAGTAGGAAGCAGACTGGCTTCGCCCGATCTGAGGGGTCTGGCTGTATCGCATACCCCCCCTGTACGCCGAGGACGGTCTCTGCGGAAGGTCTTCTTTGGCCAGCCCTCCGTGCTGACAGATCGCTCCCGCGCTGAGGCTCGCCTGAACGTGCTGCACGGGTCTGCTGTCCCCAACGATGCCCCCGATAGAGCCCTGGTAGACCAACCTGCTCTGGCTAACCCCCATTTCCCCTGACGCCGACTGGTACTTGCTGGCCATCGAGTGGGCAACCTGGCTGTAAGCACCGGTTGGGATTACAGTACTCGAGTGGACGGCTGAGCTGGGCTGGTTGCTCCTCACGATCTGCGCCTTGGCTGGCTGCAGCCTCAGCCCCTGCTGCGGCACGGCCACGGGGAGTTGGGGCATCTGGAAAGACCTCTGCGTCATCTTGGATAACGGAGACTTTGGCCGACCGGGGAGCTGGCTGACTCCGCTGGGTTCTTGCTGATAACGAACCGGGGAACCGGACTGTGACCTATAAACGCTCATGCTTTCTGCTGGGGGGCTGGCACGATACTGAGGACCTCTACGCAGAGGAGAAGGTGGTGGGCTTTGATACTCCTTCCCTTGACTTCCGACAGGAGGTGGGCTGAAGCGGTACGAGGAGCCCTGGTGAGCAGGGGACGTGTGTGGAGGACTGGGTCTGTAATGCGAGTTTTGGTGCGTCGGAGACAGAGCAGGAGACGTGGACTGGTACCCTTGCCTGGTTGGCGAACCCACGGAGCTATTGGACCTGAAATCAAAGACCTGATGAGAGCCAAGGGGTGAGCCAGAAATATAGGCTGAGTCCCTGTGAGCTGGGGACGGGGGTGGGCTCTGGATGACGGGCAGCCCTTGGTTTGGCCTGGACTCTGTCTGCAAGCCAATGGAAACGTTTTCTACATCCTGCTCGAGGTATTCCTCCTCAAAGATATCTTGCACAGAATACAAATCTTCATGCTGGGCTTCAGGTTCCGGCTCCACCGGGAGTGGCGGTGCC